CTCCTAAATCACTCGTACGCACAACTTAAGAACAGATCTGTGCGTACGAACGGTTCTTGCATGAGGCCCAGTGAATTCTATTGAGCTCCCTAAATGTTGKGAACTGATGACATGAAAACAACAAGGACAGGCCGTTATGTTTTGAAAAGCAAAAAATAAAATGTAGCCTMCAATCTGTGCACAGATGATGTATTTGCTGCTTTTGTTTTTTCACCATTTTGTAGCTCTGGTGAGCGTGAAATTTTTATCATTTCCTCCTGAAGTGAGGGGGATTTTTCCAGAGTTGTTGTGATATTAGGTGACTTTTTTTTTATCTTGAAAACATACAAGCAGGTTTTTAACGACTCTCAGTTCTGCCGTCTGCACTCCTAAAATTCTCAACTTGTAATTGTTTTCACAGGTGTAAGAAACACGTCCTGCAAATTTCATCCACTTCCTTGTAGAATTAGATTTTTAAGGGCCGAAAGAAARATCCAACTTTTAGATGCTGCTTCCTCCTGTAAGAAGCTGAGCAAGCATCTTTCCCAGAAGTCACTCCTGGCTCTGCCTGCAGAGCAGCATCCAGGCGGTGCTATCTGCTAACAGTGGCTAACAACCAGTTGGGTAAACACCAGCACCAAACATTAGAACTAACATTAGCTGGCATTTAATACAGTATAGTAATATTCAATTCCCAAAATACAAAAAAAGAAAATGTTCATCTTACTTGTGAAGGTATCCCCAAGCCCTGATGTCAAATGTGATTTGGACAAAAAGCTGCAGAGTGCTGAGGCTTTTTCTCCTGTTTTGGTTTAACCAMGTGGGACCAATGATGAATTTTCATGTATGTAATTAAAGAAATTTATTGGGGTTTGTTTACTTACTGATTTATAAAAGCTCCACACATTTTGTAGTTTTTCTCTTAGGAGAATAATGCTATTTTTTTTTATAAACTATTGTGTGATTATTTCTGTGATTAAAATGAACAGACTGGTCTGGATGGCTAGACGATGTGGTCACCCAGAGCAGGAAGTATATAAGTGGCTGCTTGAACACACAGATACTGAATGTAAAAGAAACACTAGCWGGAAAGGAATTGTGTTGGGAGGATATGACCCCGGAGCAGGAAAGTGTGTGCCCCCCCAGTGATGTCAAAATAGTAGGTGGGTTCATTTGTTAAATTAGCTTCTTGTCACATTGAGTAATTTTCCCTTTTTGACTGTGTGAAGACTTTTCTTTTAGTAATAAAAACATTTTTTTTCAAAGCTTAAATCTTGAAGAAAAATATAACGTGTTCAGTAATTCTGCAACTGTTGTTTTACCTGGTCGCTGGAGGAAACTGTTGTCTTCTCAGGCGGCTCTTTCCCCTGGCTTGAATCTAATCCAGTACAATCATGTCATTTTAAGATTAGAATCACTTTATTACATTTATCATGTTTTRGTACATATTAAATATTTGTATGTGTTTAAAGTTTGCTTGTACTATATAAAAATGTAAAGCAGTAAAGATTTGTTCGGACCAACAGAAGTGGTCATAAATCCAACAGCAGGATTGTTCAAACCTGTGTTACTGGAGGTATTATTGTCTGGTTTTAAGATCCCAATCCTGCAAAGAGATACAGTTATAAATGCAAACTAATAATTAATGAAAACTGCAAAAAATGCTTTTCTTGCATTTCATATCATTTTTAACATGATATTGTGATTATAGTGAAGTATGAGTTGCATGAGTGAAACAGGCAAACTAAAACGTATACAGCAAAACCACTACAGCTTCTATGAAAAAGCTTCTATAGAATACAGGCCCTGGCAAAWCTGATGGAATCACCGGCCTCAGAGGATGTTCATTCAGTTGTTTAATTTTGTAGAAAAGAAGCAGATCACAGACATGACACAAAACTAATGTCATTTCAAATGGCAACTTTCTGGCTTTAAGAAACACTGAAAGAAATCAAGAAAAAAAGGTGGTAATGAGGATAACAGAAAATAGCCATCTCATGGCATAAAACAAATCTTAGGAAGTCTCCTGGCCTGGATGTCATCTGTGGATGCACTCTGAGATATTGTCCATTAGCTAAGTGGAGTTTTTCTGGTATTTTAAATGTGCAGTAAATGTTCCCTCATTTTGGAAAAGCTCAACAATTATTCCCATTCCACATGACCACTGGAAATAAATTGTTGCTATTTTTGTTTGGATATTGCTTGTGGTATTCTTCAGGGGTTTGTTTTAGGCCCTAAGCCGTTTATTTTATACAATAATGACATTTTCAATGTTTCCAAAATATTAAAAATGGTGCTMTTTGATGATAAGTGCTTTAATTCTGGTGACAGTTTGCAGGATTTGTTAGATGAAATGGCGACTGTTAGTTTTTATGTTAGCTTCATTGATCTCCTGATGGGGAAAATAGTTCTCTGCATTTTACCCATCGCACATGTGAGCACACTCATGGTTAAGGGCCTTGCTCAAGGGCCCAGAGTGGGGCTAATGGGTCTGGGGAGTTGAGCCTGTGAACCTCCAGTCACAGGCTCACCTTCTCTAACTTCTGCACCACTACMTCTGTACTAAAATCAAATTAGAAAAAAATTATCACTAAATAAAATTAAAGTAATGTTTGGAAGTAGTATGTCAAATAATCAAGTAAAGATTCAAATGAATGGAAATGAATTTCAGATTTCGTGGGGTAATTGTGGATGGGAGATTTAGTTGAAAAGCATAAAATAATCATGTCCATTCTAGAGCATCAAGAAGCTTCGCAGAACTGAATATAAAACCAAGCAGGTATTAGATCAGACATCACCTCATATCCTCTATTAGTTCGCTAGTTTCCCCTTATTTAAGTTACTGTGTGGAAATCTGGGGCTACACCCATAATTGTACAATTCCTAMTTTGAAAATTTACTCAAAATACTCAAGATTCATTTTTTCAGATTGGAAGTTACAGTTTAAAGTTATTGTGTGTTATGATTGGTGTGGAACCCAAAATGCAGGCAGACACGAGGACTTGAATGCAGAACAAAACTGATTTAATGAAACAAAAAGGCTGGCGTGGCAGCTAAAACACAAAAGAAAACATGGACAGAGACGAGGCATGAAAAAGCATTGGGCCTCATGCAAGAACATGTTCGTATTCTTATCCTAAATTTCTCTTACTTTTGTTCGTACAAAGGG